AATACTGCCAGCCGCACGGTCAAACCCAATAAACCACGGTCTCTCCAGCAAACCCTACAAGACTTCCACCGATAGTCTTCCTAAGACTCCCACCGATAGGCGTCCTGTGGTACACCCAAGAGGTCAAATCAATCCTCATCAATCTATTTAGTATTTATACTTCCTGTATGGCTAGTTCCCAACTACAATTCTCCTACTGGGAAGACTAGTGTAAAACACGGCACCAGGTGTTTTTTTTTTTTTTTTTTTTTCAACTCAGCTGAGTTGCTAGTGGTGGTGATACGAGCATCCACCACTAGTAGCCCGGCTGCTGGCTCCATTCTATTGGTGGGGAGCTGCACCTGCTGGAAATCGGGTCCAGCGTCCCACATACATATTAATCCGGACCACAACTTTAAATAAAGTACTCAGAGAGTAGGATCTGATTCTCTATCTGATACCTACTAGGTTCATGTTCGAGTCCCACCCATTACCAAGGACCTGTTACAGACCTACTCTGCTAACTAAGCGCTATACCAACAACTGCCAAGTCAAGCGTCACGGAAAAATTAACTGTCCTCAGCCTGTACTGTATCCAAGCCAAACTCAGGTTGCCTGATCGAGGACCGCAAATGGCTGCCAAAGTACAGGCCACTAATAAGAAACCCACCTACCATACAGCTACAAAAACACTCAGACCGGTACCTTCACACTATACAAAAGAAGGCACAAGGAAGCACAAAGTGCAGGTTCGAAGCCCATAAAAAATGCTAAAGAATCCCTGTTTAGATAAAGCTGCAAAGAATGACTTCAGGCCACTAAGACAGCATCAACAAATATCAACAAAAATCACCACCTAAGACTACAGCAAAGGAACACAACTCCGAAAGAACCCAAGAGGAACAAAAAAGAATAGAATTACGTCATCGAGAACGCGGTCATATGCCTGTTTAGTACATGAGTTTGACTGGGGGAGCACAACAACATTGGTAAGGGACACGGGGCCCGGTTCCCATCTTGCATCTACTAATACTTAAAGGCAAAAGCGGTCCCCGGAAGACGCTCCCTCCGGGCCCAGGAAAATTGAGGCCCGGGCGTCGGTTGGATGAGACAGGCGTTGTGGCACGTTTCGTTTCTTTTATTTTTGTCGTTTAGTGCACACTCTCGTGTCCCATTTTGCAGGGCACGGGTTTGAGGGCTTTGTTTTTGCATTTTCATTTTTTTGGGTTGGATGTGACAGACGCTTTTCGTACGGTTTTTTTTTTGGGTGGCCGGGCCCGCGCGTTGGCACGTCTTTTTTTCGGCGCACGGCGGGTTTGTTTTGCGCCGCGGCGATTGCGGAAAGTGCAGAAAGTGTTGCCCCGGAGGTGTCGGGCAGATTCAACCAGGGAGTGTATATTTCCATGTTCTACCGAAAGATTTGTTCGATTTTGCTCATCCTATCATCGCAGTACCGTGGCGTCACCCCCGAGGTTGGAGACTTACCTGTTCTCTCTCTCTCTCTCTCTCTCTCTCTCTCTCTCTCTCTCTCTCTCTCTCTCTCTCTCTCTCTCTGTGTGTGTGTGTGTGTCTGTCTCTCTCTCTCTCTG